CACATACCTCTACCCCAGACCCAAATCCTCACGGGGCACAGATTGCCCCCAAGAAAGTGTAAGAGGCTCTGTGGGCAGAGAAGCGTCACTAACTGCTGAGCTGGGCCGCAGCTACATGTACAATGTAGGTCCTCAAAAACTTATATTTGTGGTTAAATTAAGTTCAAAAGGGACATGCACCCACCTCATGTACCCCTGTTGTCCCTCAAGAGATACAGAGGTTCTGAGCTCCAGAATCCTATTTTCCCCATCCCCTCCTCCATTTACAAGAATGCTTGGCACCCCTCCCCATCACCCTCTGGTCCCCAGTCCCTGACCCCAAAGCCCTGGGGGTGGGGTACAGGGAGGGTGGGTCTCCCCTCTTCAATTCCTCCTATTGTTCCCCAGAAGTCTTATCTGGGTTGTACGTCCTGTCCCCCCCCTTAGAGGTCCCTCCCCCCATTGTCGGCCAAAGGGACCTCAGGCCCACAGGGAGGCTCCTGCTCCTCCTCACCCTCCCACCCCAGCAGCCTATTGTCTGCTGAGGAAGCCCAAGTACACGTGACCAAGCCCAGGGGACAAATGGACACAGTGGACACACCGATGCCCACGGACCCAGGATAGGGCATCTGGACATGGATCTCGGCGTGTTTGGCTTTCTCTGTCCCAGGGGCTGTCCCATAAGTAGGGAAGGGTGAAGGCCCCTGTGGGCTGTGCATCTTGGGTCTGTGGCCTGAAGAAGAATCCTTTCCTGCTCACGATGGATATGCCTTATGACCTCGCAGACCGCAAAAAGAAGGAGATCCAAAGCTGAAAAGGGCCACAGCCCCCAGCCTCCTCTCCACCTTTCCATTCTCCCTCAGCAGAACCTGGAGGCCTCAGAAGGAAAGGTACTCGGGCATTTAGTGCTTTAGAATCTGGGTGTTGGGGGAATGGTGGGAAGTCAGACCACACTGGACTTCCCAAGGAGTCTAGAATGGAGAGTTGGGAGAAAAAGGCTGGGGAAAGGGCAGGATATACATCTAGGAACTAGGGTTTTCCAGTGGTCCCAAGTTCCAGGTCTAGACTGTGAGATGCTGCAGCTGTCGGTCAGGTACAAAGACAGTGACATCTTTTCTCTCACACCCTGTGTCCTCCTCTCACCAGACTGTCCACACGCCAGCTGGTTTCTCCATTTCACTTCACCCCACCAACCCCTCCCATAGCTCCCCTTCCCTCTGCCGAGACAGCAGCCTTAGTGATATCACAAAACCTTTATTTTCAGAAAACCGAAAGAAACAAAATCAAAATCAAAACCAATCATTTTTACCTGGCCCCTGCCCCAGCCCTCCCACCCACCCACACATCCTCCTTTTGGGGGGGCACCTGTGATGCATGCAGAAGGGGTGGGAGCTGAAGGAACCTACATTCCTTAAACAGAAAGAAGTCCTTTTGAGTCTAGGTATCCTCATCCAAGTCAACACCACCCCCAGCCTTGCCCCCTCTCCAGACACATCAAGAAGGAATTCTGAGGTGGTGCCAGAAGGTTTGCCCTGAAGTTCCTCGGGAAACAGGGTGGCCGGGCCAGCACCACCCCAGGCCTTCACCAGTTACAGCTCATCTTCATCCAGCTTGGCAAGTCTGGCTTGGCAGGGAGGGGTATTTGGGATTGGTGGAGCTGGAGGAGAGTCACGAGGAGCTTGGGGGAAGTCACTGAGGGCCTGAGGAAAGACTCAAGTCAGAGGATAAAAAAAGTTCCGGAATCCACCCTCACTCCTGTCTTTTCAGTGCATGCCCTAGCCAAGCCACCTCCTCTTGCCAGGCATCTTAGATGATCCGAGACCATCAGCCTCTCCCAGGGTTGAACTGGAGGAGGGACAGGTAGGAGTAGGGCAGTAGGAAGGGGCAGACAAAAGGCAGGTGGTGGTTAGAAGGAAATATGGGGGGAAGGGAATTTAGGGATCCCAGAACAAGAGGAGCCCTCCCCATTCTATAGCAGGGGCGCTCCATTCCTCATACCTGTGTGTCCAGGGGCAGGGGGGCTCTGGCCACCTCCCCTTTGGGCAACAGCAGCAGGGAGGGGAGAGAGCCGTTGATGGGTGCTTGTGTGCTGACCTGGGCCCGGTCTCCAGGCCGGATTCTCCCAGGACTCCCCACCCTAAGCCCTCCTGGCCGCCCCAGGCTGTTGGTCTGACTCTCCCTCCTCTGATACTCAATGGGTGACTGCAATGCTGGGGCAAAGAGAGGAACAGAAGGAGAGTTACAACAGAGACAGGCCTTTTCCCTAAGAGCTCTGCCCAGACCACCCTCCCACTTTGCCCTCCTCCCATGAACTGTCAGCCAGTATAAATTGCTGGGGAGATGAAGAGAAGCTGGGGTCAGAGGGCAGGGATTGGAGACTGGGCAGTGAGGGAGGGATTCAGCAGGTCAAAGGGCCGAAGGAACACGTGGGGGAGGGAGGGTGAGAGCTTCACCATTGAGAAAGTTCCGCTGGCTTTCCAGGATCTGAGCCACTTGCTTGATCCAGGCCTGACTGACCGCAGGATCTGCAGTCTGTAGGACATAGCGCTGGATCCCACCCTCTGGCCCTCTGGAGGTCAGTGCAAAGCGGCAAGGGTCACCTTGGAGGTTCCCCTCCAGTCCCAGGCAGCTCACCTGGATTGGCAAATAGGAGACAGCCCCCAAATTCTTTAGGCCCTCTCCGGTTCCTGCCCCTTCCAACAAATCCAAGAACCAGACATTCTCTCAGAGGTCTCACCCTATCCCAGGCAGACCCCTCCCTTGTGGCCTCCTCCCCACCTTGATGCTGCTTTTGTACACATATCCAGCCTGCGTTCCACCTCGTACTCCTCCTCCCAGGGCCTCGCTGAAGATGATGATTTGCTCAAAGAGGAAGACACGTCTCTCTCGACCCCGGGAGGAGAGCAGACCGCCAGCCTCAGGCTCTGTGACCCAGAATGTGTCCTGGCCCAAGAGCTTCCCCTGAGCAGTCAGTTTGCCCTAGAACCAAAGGACGGTGGCTTTGAGGAAAAAGTGAGAAGAGAAAAGGGGCACTCTCTGTTCCTCCCTCCTTCCCCTGACGCTCCCAACCAACCATGGGGTCAGTCCCAGGGGAGGACAATTCCCCATTAGGACATCCCAAGTACTCAGACTGGGGCAGAAGAGCATTGGGCCTCCAGTTTCCTGTTCTATCCCCATACCTCAAACCCCCGAAGTCTCCCCAGGGTCATCATGTCATTGCAGCGCTTGGGTACAAAGCACATGACCTCCACAGCTTGCTGGGTCGCAGGTGAAGAGAGAAGCATTGTCATTGTCAAGGAAGAGACCTCTTCAGACCATGTTTCACCTCTCAACCAGCCTCCCCGTAAAAGCGAGACAGCTCAAACCACCCAAGGAGCTGGGAGAACCCAGAAGACTAAAACAGTAAGATCCTGGAAGGATAAAAAAAAGTGTCCAGGAAGATCTGGGAGTCCTCACCTCCAGCTCTTCAGTATCCATCCCAGCTCTACTGTAATATTTGAGAAAATCCTAAGATGTAGAAAAGAAACGCTCAGGGAGGTTTTGAGGACACCCTCAGAAACTCTCACATCCTCCCCTTGAAGGCACAGGTGAGGATGCCCAGGAAGTATGGGGGGCGCCTTAGGAACTCTGAAGAGATGAATGAGAAAAGGGCTGTCCCAACCAGAGGTACCCCCAGGGAACAGGTGGTCCTGACCTTGAGCAACAGCTGGTATTTCATGATCCTCTGCACTGGTTTGATGAGGAGGTCATTGAGCTGCAGGCGGTGCCCTAGCTGCTGCCGGAGCTCCTGGGGACAGGGACTGGGTGGTTATGTAGCCTGGAAAGCCTGATGATTCTGTTCCCCTTTCCCCAAGGTGCCTCGGCCACTGACCTCAAAGTAGCTGTCCCCAAACTCTGACACCACGTGCTCGGACTTGGGCTTATTCTGGCAGTACACCACGTACATATGCAGCCTGCGCTCCTAACAGGGGTCAAGTTTAAGGAGAGCCCGATGGGTGCGGAGAGAAAGCCCCTCTCCAGAGATCTGTGACCCACTCCCAAGCCCCTCCCCTCCAGGGCCCCACCCTCTTAAGCCTCACGTGTTTGATGAATAGCTGAGCCAGCCAATCAGGATCCTTCAAACACTGCTGCAGCTCCTGCAGGAAATAGCTGGAAGGGTTGGCAGGGAAAAGGCTGGTCAAATACCCCCACCCCACTCAACTTAGAGCTGTCTACCCTAGCTGTGCCATTAAGCCACTCCAAACGTTCCTCAGGCAGCAGTGGGCCCATGGGTGGGATACAGAGACTACCAAACATCTATGCCCTTCACCCTCACTCTCAGGAATCCATCACTCACTCTCGATGCCACTCATAGATTTGCTGGATGTTCCCAAACACAATCCTGTCACGGCCTCGAAGACTCTCTGGGACCCCCTGAGCGGCCATGGTGGCCATGTAACCCTGTAGGAAGGTTGGGGTGAGAGCGTGAGCGTCAGGGGCCAGCCCTGGTAGGAAAAACCCCTCCCCCCCAGAAGTCTAGGATGTAGGGGGGTGCTGGGAAGGTGGGACAGAGGAGTATCAAGGCATCCCCTAAAATTAGCCTTGGGCAGAGGGAAAGGGCTGGGCTAGAGCTGAGAAGAGAAAAGGGACCTACCTCCACAATCTGCCCCAAGTCGTCCACATACATTTTCTCTGTCTCTACCAGTTCACTCAAGACATACCTGGGAAGAGAGCAGGAGTGCACATGGTTGATTTAGCCACTTCCTCCCTACTGGACTAGAAGCTCCTTCATTACCACAACCAACCTCAGAGGAAATTCCAAGTATCAAATCTAAAATGTGAGGGACAGTTCTCTGGAAGTTGCACAACTGGGGGGCGGGGGGAGGGAGCAAAAGGGAGGGAGAGTGTGGGGACACTTACATACTCCTTTCCAGAGCCTTCTTCTTCTGTTCCTCCTCACTCTCAGGGGCCTGGGATAGGGTCTCCTCCTCAGGTGGCTGGAAGGAAAGAACATCCTAGAGTAAGCAAATGGATGCCTTTTGGGGAGCTGTGCAGATCCATTTCTTCATACCTGTGTCTTATCTCCAGGGCCCTCCAACAATGTGGTCAGCAGGGTCAGTTCTGGCAGCTCCTCTCCAGTGGCTAGAGCTGGTTCCAGCATCCAGTTCTGGGAACCAGAGGTCAAGTGTCAGAGGTCATGGACAGTAGCTACCTCTCCCCAATGACCAGTGGCCCCCAACCTGCCCTCTCTCCCAGTGTCCTTCATGGATGTCATACATGCTTCTGTGGTGCTCCCTGCTCACCTCATATGGTCCAGCCTGGCCACCGTCTGCCTCAGTTTCCACACTGAGACAATGTTTGGAATGACCCAACCATCTTCTCAGGCCACTGACTGGCCCTGGGGGGCCCGGGGAACAGGGGCCAGAGCTGAGGCCAGAGCTGGGGCCAGAGAGGGCAGCCAGACCCGAAGCAGCTGAAGCTGAGATACTCCCCTCACTGCCAGCAATGGAATAGGATTCTAATGGGGAGTGGGGGGAGAAAAGGGGCCATAGATATTACTCTAGCTCCAGATGCAGGGCCCCTAGGGAGCTCCCAGAGGCTCCTCTTCATGATGCTGAGCCCCTCTCCCCCAGGGCCCACTCTCTTGCCATCCTCATTTGAGTTGGCAGGGATAGAAAATTTCACCTAGGCACCCTTGGAAGGAAGGACAGTAAACACCTGGGCTCCCAAGGCCTGGAAACCTCCATTCCCCCATATCCTGAGCATGGCATAGATATGGGGGGGCAGCCATCTGGGCAGACACTGGAAGCTGAGGGTGGCCATCTGCTCTCCTACAATCTGCCCCCTTCCAATGGGCACAGACCATTCCCTGAGAAGGTGGGGGGGG